TGTTTCTAATACTTTTTAATTTCCTTACACCTATTTGATTCACGAAGAGTGTCAGATAACACTAGTATCAGCAGTCTTTGAAGGCCTAACTTTACGGTTGTTTCTGCATTTTTTTTTTTCTGCTCATGATCCTTGTTTTATTGTGTTTGATGGTTTTTACCTTGATATTACATCTTACTTGGAACTTAGCTCATGGGAATTCTTTGAGGCCTTAGGGTAAGTGCCTTCGTCCAGAGATGATCTGTGTTTTCATCTGCTGGGTGTAGGTGTACACCCATTTAGGGTCACTTTATTTATTTTCTTTAATTTATTTAATGTGTTTATTATTTTTGGTTGTGCTGGCTCTCCATGGCTTCGTGTGGGCTTTCTCTAGATGCGGTGTGAGAGCTTCTCATTGCAGCGGCTTCACTTGCTACGGAGTACACTCTGGGGTATGCAGGCTCAGTTGTTGTGGCACATGGGCTTAGTTGCTCCACAGCAACTAAGAGATTCTATAGAATCTCCCCAGACCCAGGATCAAACACTTGTCCCCTGTATCGGCAGGTGGATTCTTAACCACTGGACCACCAGGGAAGTCCTCCAGAGTCACCTTAAAGTGAAAAATTTGGCTTTGTATTTTTCAAGTCTCATAGGTATTGTGGATTCTGGCCTAAACCTTCTAGAGTGTGGGTGAGGATTAGGGATACTCTGGAAGATTTTTTCATTCTTTTCTCTAAAGCTGTTGCTGAAGAATCCATCTCTACTTCCTCCCCCTTCAGGCACTTCTTTTTCTGTTGCCTCACTGTCTGAGGGTCAGTGATTTAGGGGTCTCAGCTTTATGCAGAGGTCTTGTCTGATCTCCACCCTGCTCTGGTCTGGGCTTTGTCTCTTGTCACCAGGGATTGGGAAACTGGTTAAAGACCAGGCTTTAAAGATCTTTAGGCCCCTGGGGATTGGATGAATGATGGTATCTCCCAGAATATATTCATTTGCAACTTGCTTTTTACTCTTACAATATTGTGATTGATAAGAAATATATATTTGGTTATTCAGATGACCAGAGCATATTTCTCATATTTATTTGTTCTTCGTTCACAGTTCCCCAAACCCTTCATTTACAGAGCTCCCCAAACCATTGGAATTTCCTGAGCCATAAAAACAATAGGAGCATCTTTTGTTATAAAATTTGGTCTCTTATCCTCAGTTCTTGGAGAAGGAAATGGCAACCCACTCCAGTATTCTTGTCTAGAGAATTCTGTGGACAGAGGAGCCTGGTGGGCTGCTGTCCATGGGGTCGCACAGACTCAGACATGACTGAAGTGACTTAGCATGCATGCATGCATTGGAGAAGGAAATGGCGACCCACTCCAGTTTTCTTGCCTGGAGAATCCCAGGGACAGAGGAGCCTGGTGGGCTGCCATCTGTGGGGTCACACGGAGTCAGACCCAACTGAAGTGACTTAGCAGCAGCAGCAGCATCCTCAGTTCTTATTGTTTCAGAGCCATAAAGGTGAAATGGGCATCTTGTTAATCACAAGCCCCTTTTCACCATAACTGGGTTTGTGTTGATGAGGTGCCTTTTAAAAAGCATGTGAGGATGGGGACTGGTTGCCAAGGGAACCAATCATGACCACACCCCTTGATTTCTGTAGTGGGCATAGAGGCTGAAGTTTGAATTAATCACCAGTAACTTACTCAAGCATATGTATGTAATGAGGGCCTCCCTGGTGGCTCAGTGGTAAAGACTCTGCCTGCCAATGCAGGGGACTCGGGTTCGATCCCTCATCTGGGAAGATCCCACATTCTTCGGAGCAGCCAAGCCCGTGAGTCATAACTATGGAAGCCCCTGCACCCAGAGACCATGCTCCCCAACAGAAGCCACGCAAGGAGAAGCCCACACACCACAACGAAGAGTAGCCATTGCTTGCCCCAGTTAGAGGGATGCCTGCATGCAGGCTGAAGCCAGCGCAGCCATAAAAAATACACATATTTCAGTGTGAATATGTTCGATGATCTACTTATTCATTCTTCATTCTCCTGTTCATGGACACACTTAGGTTACTTTCAGTCTTTGGCTTTTGTAAATAATGCTGCAGTAAACATTGTTTACATGTTTCTTTTGGTATGTGCAAGCATTTCTCCAGTGTATATTCCTAAAAGTGGAATTTCTGGTTCACAGAGTTTGTGCACTTGAACTTTTTGAGATTATATTTAATTGTTCTCCAGACAGTAGCAAGACAGTCTTCCACCACTGTTCACATTGCCTCCAACAATCTATTAGTCACATTTAAATTTTTAACCAATCTGATGTGTGTGAAAATGGCCATTTTTATTGACATGTCTTTGATTGCTAGAAAGAGCATGTGTCATGTTTTCACCATTTTAGTCTTCTCTTCTGTGAACTGCCTCTTTGTATTGTGTATGTTGGAAACCCAAGGTGATTATTAGTTAGATCCGTCACACCTGCCCTCATTGAGCAAGCTCATTTTGTTGCTACAGAACGTTTGCATGTCCTCCAAGCTTCACGTAGCCTATAGAATAAAGATGTTTGCCCAAGTTGGTTTTTTAGTAACTTGGAGTCATGTGTGTCCAGTTTGAGCTTGAACCGGTTACGACTGTTAAGACCACTGACTCTCTAACTGGGCATGTTCAGTGAGTGACCACTCAGGGAACTTTAGATGACAGAGGGCCCAAGCCACACTACCTCCCCTACCCCGGCAAGGTAGCGCCATCATTTTCTGCACGTGTGCCCCACGAAGCAGCCTTGGCTTAGCTACGCCTGCGCAGATGGACGACTGCCTCACCCTTTTCTCTCCAATCACGTTCCCCATGTTCCCCAGTCCTCAGCTTTGTCCCATCATCCTCCTGAGCCCCTCCCATTCCCGGAGGCAGATTTGGGATGTTCTCTCTTCTGCTGGCATGGCTGCCTCGTGAAGACGCTTTTTCTCAGCTCTAAACCTCGGAGTCTCAGTGTTTGGTTTGCTGCCTGTTGGGTGAACATACCAGGTTCGGTACTGTGTTTTTCTATTTTTTTTTAAGTTAATTAATTTATTCTTGGCTGTGCTGGGCCTTCGCTGCTGGTGGGGCTTTTCTCTAGCTGTAGCAAGCAGGGTCGATTCTTCGTTGCATTGCTCGGGGCTTCCCATGGCGGTGGCTTCTGTTGGTGCAGAGCACGGGCTCTAGACACGAAGGCTTTCAGCAGTTGCGACGCACAGGCTCTGTAGTTGCGACGCACAGGCTCGGTAGTTGTGACGCACAGGTTGAGTTGCTCCCGTGGCCTGTGGGATCTTGGCGGATCAGGGATTGAACCCATTTCTCTTGCATTGGCAGGGGGATTTACCACTGAGCCACTAAGGAAGCCCGTTTTTCTATTTTAAAATTGGTTTGCCAATCATTAGGTATTTGGAATTTTAATTCTTTGTCAGTCATATGTGTTCAGTGTTACAAATGTCCTCTTTTCTGTCGGTTTCACTTATCTGACTTTTGAGCTATAGAAATTTAAACCTGATCTCAGGTTCATCCATATCTCTTTATGTGTCTTTGTAAGAAATCCTGTCCTACTCTTAAGGTCATAAAGACAGTCTCCCGTATTTTACATTAAAGACTGAAAGTTTGCTTTTCATATTTAAGTTTTTCATCCAGTTAGAACTATTTTTTGTGTAAGGTGTGAAGTTGTAACTTTTTTTTTTTTCCAGATGAATAGCCAGTTGTCCTGGTCATCCCTCCTCATAGAATTGTAATGCCATCTCAAAGTTTCCAAAAGCACAGGGATCTGTTTCCAGGTTCTCTTTTCCCATTGCTCTGTGTGTCTGTCTCTATGCAAAGCCACATTTTGTCTGTTTTTATAAATTATATTTTAAACATTTATTGAAATACAATTGATTTACAATGTTAATTTTTTCTGTACAGCACAGTGATTCAGTTGTTGTTCAGTCACTAAGTCATGTCTGACTCTTTGCCACCCAGTGGACTACAGCATGCTAGGCTTCCCTGTCCTTCACCATCTCCTGGAGTTTGTTTAAATTTATGTCCATTGAGTCGGTAATGCCATCCAATCATCTCATCCTCTGTTGCCCCCTTCTTCTCCTGCCCTCAATCTTTCCCAAAATCGGGGTCTTTTCCAGTGAGTCAGTTTTTTCCATCAGGTGGCCAAAGCATTGGAGCGTCAGCTTCAATCCTTGCAATGAATATTCAGTATGTATATTCTTTTTCATATTCTTTTCCATTGTGGTTTATCACAGGATATTGAATATAAGTCTCTGCTATACAACAGGATCTGTTGTTTATCCAGTCTTCATATAATAGTTTGCATGTGTTAATCCCAAGAGGGCTTCCCAGGTGGCCCTAGGGGTAAAGAACTCACCTGCCAGTGCAGAAGACATAAGCGATGTGGGTTAAATCCCTGGGTTGGGAAGAGCCCCTGGAAGGAGAGCATGGCAACCCACTCCAGTCTTCTTGCCTGGAGAATCCCATGGACAGAGAAGCCTGGCAGGCTGTGGCCCACAGGATTGCAAAGAGTTGGACAGGACTGAAGAGACATAGCATGCATGCATAATCCCAAACTCCCAATCCTCCTCTCCCCGACCCCTTCAACCCCCTTGGCAACCACAGGTCTATTCTCTGTGTCTGCAAGCCTGTTTCTGTTTTGTAAGTTTTCATTTGTATCCTATTAATGCCACATATTAATTATATCATACAGTATTCATCTGTCTCTGACCTACTTTGTTTTTATTGGTATGTCCTTGATGGCTAGAGAAGAGAAAATGTCTCATGTTTTCCCCCATTTTATGTTTCTGTGAACTGTCTCTGTAGTTATCTTGCTTATACTGGAAACCGAGGGTGATCGTTAGATTCACTACACCTGTAAGCTGACCTCACCGCTCAAGTTCCTTTAATTGCTGCATGTCCTCCAAGCTTCCCTGTAGCCTAAAGAATAAAGGTGTTTGCGTTAAGTTGGTCTTTTAGTAACCGGGAGTCCGCTGTGTCCATTTCAAGCTTGAGCAGGTTATAAAGACCACTGACCTTCCAGCCGGGCATGTCCAGCCAGCGCTCACTCGGGGACCTTCAGCCACGAGAGGACCCCGCCCCCGCACGGTAACGCCATCATTCTCCCAGGTGCTTCCGGTGATGCCGCCTTGGCTTGACTGCGCCTGCGCAGAAGGCCGACGGCCTTACCCCTTCTCTCCAGTCACCTTCGCGTGCTCCCCCGGCCTCGGCTTGGTCGCCGCAGACTCCTGAGCCGCTCCGCTTCCCTTCCCGGAGGCAGATTTGGGATGTTCTCCCCTCTGCTGGCATGGCTGCCTCCTGAACACACAAACCTCGGAGTCTCATTCTTCCGCCAGTTACCTGTCCAGCAAACAAACCAGTTCAGTAACATATTTCCCTATTTCTAAATTGGGTTTGCCGTTCACTAGATATTTGGAATTTTAATTATTTGTCAATCTTATATGTTACACATGTCCTCTTTCTGTCGGTGGCTTGTTATTTCACTTTAGCTTTTTATTTGGCTGGCTGCGTCTTTGCCGTGCGCGGGTTTTCTCTAGTTGCGGGGAGCCGAGGCTCCTCTCTGGTTGGGGTGGGCTAGGTTCTCATTGTGCTGGCTTCTTTGTTGCAGAGCACAGGCTCTAGGGCTGCGACTGTGGCCCATGGACCTAGCTGCCCCGAGACATATGGGATCTTCCCGGACCAGGGATTGAACCCGTGTCTCCTGCATTGGCGGACAGACTCTTAACCACTGGACCACGAGGAAAGCCCTTCACGTTACTTTTGAACTATAGAAATTTAAATAGATCTCAGATTCATCCTTCTCTTTTTGTGTGTCTTTGTAAGAAATTTTGGCTGATTTTAAGGTCATAAACACAGCCTCCTGAATTTTGTGTTAAAGATGAAAGGTTTGCTTTTCATATTTAAGTTTTTCATCCAGTTAACTTGGTTCTTGTGTATGGTGTGAAGTCGGAATTTAGCTTTTTCCAGATGGATAGCCAGTTGTCCTGGCTATTTTCCCTGTTGAATTATAATGCCATCTCTCTTATACATGAAGTTTCCATTTCTTGGCTGTCTTCTCATTGCTCTATTTATGCCAAAACCACATTGTCTTAATTTCAGTAACTTTAAGTAGTATCAATATGTGAGACCTGGTATTTGAGACCCTCATCTAAATGAAATTAGTCTAGATGTTTTGTTTTTCTAATTGCATTTTAGAATCTGCTTGTTGATTTCCATGACAAGACCTGTTGGGATTTTTATTGGAACAATGTGCGTTCATGGGCTAATTCGAGAAGAATTGGTGTATTTATGATATTGTCTGTATGACCATGGTGTAAAATTAAATTTTAATAGTTTCATAAAATTTTCAAAAAGGTCTTACATATCTTTTGATTTATTCATTTTATTGCTATTAGCATGTTTTGTTTTTTTAGATAATTGTATCTTTATTAATTCAGGTCTGAAGTGTAATTTACATAGAGTAAAATTATCTTTTCTAGATGTTGCAATTCATTGAACTTTTAAAAGGAATAAGGTTCTGTAGCCACCATCACAGTCACGACATGGAGAACCCCACTACCCCGAGGTCCTTCATGCCCTGTGTATTCAGTACTCTCCTCCCATTTCTAGCCACTGGCAATCACTGCTCTGAATTCTGTCTGTACTTTTGCCTTTTCCAGAATGTCACATAAATGGAATCATGCAGTATGTAGCCTCTTGAGTTTGGCTTTTTTTCACTTAGCAAAATACTTCTGAGATTTGCCCACATCTTTGCGTATTGGTAGTTGATGGCTTTTTACTGCTGAGTTATATTCACTGTATGGATGTGCCATGACTTACTGACCCACTCACCAGTTGATCAGTTGAGGGACAATCTTCCCTTCATTGTGAATAATAATGAGTAAACTTGCTATGAACATTGGTGTACAGATTTGCACGAGAACATGTTTTCATTTCCTGGGGTAAATACCTAGCAGTGTGGTTGCTGGGTCATATGATAATATGTATTTACATTTATACAAGGGCTTCCCTTGTGGTTCAGCTGGTAAAGAATCCATCTGCAATGTGAGAGACCTGGGTTCGATCCCTGGGTTGGGAAGATCCCCTGGAGAAGGGAGAGGCTACCCACTCAAGTATTCTGGCGTGGGGAATTCCATGGACCATATAGTCCATGGGGTTGCAAAGAGTCGGACACAACTGAGTGACTTTCACTCACTTTCATATTTACATTTATAATAAATTGTCAAAATGTTATAAATGAAAAAAAAAGAAATTGTCAAAATGATTTTCAAACTGGTTGTGCCATTTTTCATCCCCATCAGTAAAGTATGAGAATTCTAGTTGCTTTGCATTCTCATCAATTCTTGGTACTATAGTCTTGTCTCATTGTGGTTTTATTCTGCATTTTCCTAATGACTTATAATTTTGAACTTCCTTTTATGTGATTGTCATCTGTATCTCTTCTTTGATAAAATAGCTGTTCAAGTATTTTTCCAGTTTTTAAAACTTGGGATTTTTGTTATTGAGTATTGAAGTCTACATGTTGTGTTACAAGTTCTTTATCAGATGTGTGTTTTATAAGTATTTTCTCCAGTTTGTAGGTGGTTTTTTATTTTCTTAATAGCATCTTTTGAAAAGCAGAAGTTATTAATTTTGAAAAAGTTCAATTTATCAGTGTTTTTCTTTTGTGGACAGTGGTTTTGGTATTGAATCTAAGAAATATTTGCCTAATTCAAGGTCACAAAGATTTTCTGTATAGACCATGGGGTTGCAAGGAGACGGACATGACTCTTTGCGTTATCTATGGAGGTGATTGGTTCCAGGACCCACCCTGTGAATACGAAAATCTCAGGATGTTCAAGTCCCTTATATAAAATGGCATAGTATTTGCATATAACCTGCACAATCTTCTCATACATTTAACCCTAATTAGTTTATACTTAAATACAACGACATAAAATTTGTTTCAGGTGTACTACATAATAATTTGACATTTGCATACATTATGAAATGATAACCTTAAGTCTAGTAACCATCTGTCTCCATACAAAAGTTTTACAGTATTATTGAAAGTTAAGTTAGCCATTTAGTCATGTCCAGTTCTTTGTGACACTATGGACTGTAGACCCTATAGGCTGCCAGACTCCCCTGTCCATGGAATTCTCCAGGCAAGAAGACTGGAGTGTGGGTAGCCATTCCCTTCTCCAGGGGATCTTCCTGACCCAGGCATGGAACCCAGGTCTCTTACATTGCAGGCAGATTCTTTACCATCTGAGTCATCACAGAAGCATGCCCATGACTTATAGCTGAAAGTATGTACCTCTTAATCTCCTTCCCCTATTTTGTCCCCACCCTCTACCTTCTCTTCTCTGGTAACCATCAATATGTTGTTTGTATCCATTTGTCTTTCATTTTGTCTTATTTTTTAGATTCCATATATAAGTGAGGTCATGTGGTATTAGTCTTTCTCTGATTTATTTCACTTAGCGTAGTACCCTCTTCATGAATCCATGTTGCTGCAAATGGCAAGATGTCATTTTGTTATGGGTGGGTAATTACTCCATTGTTTAAATATACCACATCTTCTTTATTCATCCATTGATGGACACTTAGGCTGCTTCCATATCTTGGGTACTGTAGTGCTTCAGTGAACATAGGCATTCAAATACTGTTTCCAGTTAGTGTTTTCATTCAGATAAATACGCAGAAGTGAAATTGCTGTATCATATCCAGTTCTGTTTTTTAGTATTTTGAGGAACCTCCACCCTGATTTTCATAGTGGTTACACTCTTTTACATTCTCACTAGCAGTGCACAAAATTTCCTTTTCTCCACATTTTCACCAACACTTCATTTTTATCTTCTTGATGACAGCCACTGTGGCAGATGTGCAGTTTTTGGTCATTTCATTGTGGTTTTGATTTGCATTTCTCTTGTTAGTCATATTGAGCGTTTTCCCATGTGTCTGGAGGCCATCTGTAGGTCTTCTTTGGAAAAAATGTCTATTCTCCTGCCCATTAAATTTTTTTAACTGTTTGATTTTTGATGTTGAGTTGTGTGAGTTCTTTGTATATTTGGATTTTAACCCCTTATCCATTTGCAATTATCATTTCCTGATTCAGTAGGAGATCTTTATGTTTTGTTGATAGTTTCCTTCTCTGTAAAAAAAGTTTTGCAATCCAGTGTAGTCCCATTTGTTTACTTTTGCTTTTGTTTGCTTTGCCTGAGGAGAGAGATCCAAAAAAAAAAAAAGAAAAGAAATTGCCAAGAATGATGTTAAAGAGTCTACTGACTGTATTTTCTACTAGAAGTTTTATGGTTTCAGGTCTTGCATTTAAGTCTGTAATCCGCTTTGTGTTTATTTTCATACATGGTGTGAGAAAGTAATCCAGTTTGTTTCTTTAGCATGTTACTTTGCTGTTGAATTTCCCCAGTGCCGTTTATTGAAGATTCTGACTTTTCCCTGTTGTATAGTCTTGCCTCCTTTTTATATATTTATTGCCCATATAAATGTGAGTTCATTTTCTGGTCTCTATTCTGTTCCATTGATCTAGGTACATGTTTTTATGCCAGTACCATACTGTTTTGGTTACTGCAGCTTTGTAGGATGGTTTGAAATCAGGGCATGTGATAGTCAGGATTGCTTTGGCTATTGGGGTCTTTTGTGTTTCCCTGCAAATTTTAGAGTTATTTGTTCTAGTTCTGTGGAAAAAGTCATGGGTATTTTGATAGAGATTGCACTGAATCTGTAGATTTAGTCTGGTCATTTTAACAATATTAATTCTTCCATTCCATGAGCACAGTGTATCTTTACATTTGTGTCAACTTAAATGTCTTTTATCAGTGTCTTAAGGTTTTCAGAGTTCAAGTCTTTTAGCCCTCTGGTTAGATTTATTCCTAAGTACTTTATTCTTTTAAATGCAATTGTAAATGGGATTGTTTTAATGTATTTTTCTCATAGTTCATTTTTAGTATACAGAAATGCTGCATATTTTGTTTTATTTTGTATATTGCACTTCACTGAATTAACTTATTCTTGTAGGGTTATTTTTTTGCTATCATCTTTAGGATTTTCTGTATATAGTATCATATCACATGAAAACAGTGACAAAGTTACTATTTCCTTTCCAATCTGGATTTTTTGTTT